GAGTGAAGAGACATCCCACAATGTAGGAAAAAGTGTTTGCCATCTATTCCTCAGACAGAGGATTACTATCGAGAACATATGAAGAACTCAAAAAAGGCTGGGGATATAGCTCAGTGGCACAGAACTTGCCTGGCAAGTGCCAGGGCCTGAGTTTGATTCCCAGTACTTTCCCCCCCAAAAAATCAAATCTCCCAAATTTAAAGATGCAATCCAAAAATGTAGATCTGAGATGAATATACATTTCTCAGATGAAGAATTACAAACAGCAAATAAATACAGCAAAAAACATTGAACCTCCCTGGTCATTCCAGAGATGAAAATTAAAACAACACTGAAATTTCATCTCACCTCGGGAAGAACGGCTATTGTAAAGAAATCAATCAATAACAGATGCCGGAGGAGCCATGGAGGAAAAGGAACCTTTCACACTGTTGGTAGGAGTGTAGACTGGTCCAACCCCTGTGGAAATAAATGTGACAATTCCTCAGAAAACTGGGATTGGAGGTCCCATTTGGCCCAGATATTGCCCTTCTGGTATCTTCCCAGAAGAATTAAAGACATTGTGCTACAGTGATACATTTGCACCCATGTTTATAGCAGCACAGTTTGTCATAACGAGATCTTGGGAAACAATCCAGATACCCATCAACCAAGGAATGGATTTTTTTTGTAAGTCTTTTATGCAGTTAAATACTACTCAGCCATTAAGAAGGATAAACGGGGGGCTGGTGAGATGGCTCAGTGGTCTAAAGCACCTACCTAGAACAAGCTAAGCAAAGCACAGGGACCGCGGTTCAATCCCCCAGCACCACATGCCAGTCAGCCCTGCCCCCTGGTGGGCTGAGCTGGCCCCACACACACACACACACACACAAATAAATTTTAAAAAAATTAAAAAATTTTAAAAAAAGAAGGATAAACGGGAGGCTTTTATAGGTAAATGAATGCAACTCGAGACTATATTCATAAGTGAAATAAACCAGCCACACATGTGTAGACGTTGTCTCTGTCATGTGAAAAACGGAAAGGTAAGATTCATAAAGTACAGTAGATGCTGTAAAATCAGAAGAAACTTCAAAAGGAAAGAAACTGGGATGGAGAAATGGAGAAAAGAAAGGAGAATTCGTAGTACACTACTGTCATATGTGTATCATGTGTGATAGTGATACTGATTTCTCTTAGTTCATTGAAAAGAAAGATTTGTGCTCATATTTACATAATTAAATGCCTCTACCATGTACTGAACTAATTTGGAGATCACTGTGCAGTGTATTAACCATTAGGACCCTTCTATTATCTTGTTCTGAATTTTTTTAATATATATAATATCTTTGTACCTTTTTTTTTGGCAGAACCGGGGATGGAACTCAGGCCCTTGCACTTGCCGGGAAAGCACTTATTCCACTGAGCCATCTCCCTGGCCCTTGTTTTGAAATTTTGGGGGTTTTTCTCTCTTTAAGATTTTTTAAAAGGGTGGGGAGGGAGACAGCTCAGAGAGACTTAGGAGTGGTGTCCCCTGGCGCCTCTGTGTGCCGTGTGTGTGTCCTGATACTGCACATTTCTTTCTTTTGTTTCTTTCCTTTTGTGTGTGTGTGTGTGTGTGTATGTGTGTGTTTCGTACAGGATCTCACTACACAAATCGGACTCGTAGTGATCCTCCTGTTTTCAGGCTCCCAAGCACTGGGATTACAGATGCGCACCACCACACCCAGTCTCAGTCACTGTCTCAGTACGCTCCTGGGGCGGGGCTGGCACAGCAGGCTGGGGATCGAACTCTGGCCCCTGTGTCTGCCTGAGCAGGTGCTTTAACCTGCTGAGCTACCTGGCCGGCCCCACTGCACATTTTAAAAGTAGAGTTGAATAATTGAATAGACTTGGAAAGGTGGGCTCTGCTCGCCCGTTCGATGCTGTTGGAGGCTCCCTGCTGCTCAGCCTTGAGGGCAGTCCCAGGTAGGCTCTTCGGGTTTTAGAGCCCTGGTCTTGGAGATGTATTTCCAGGGAGGTGATTCCAAGGCTGTGAATTGTTTTCAGAGCAGCAAAGGAAGGGAGAAGGAGGTGGAGGCAACAGCAAGCAGGACAACCGCTGCCCAGTGTTGCGGGTAGACTAGGTACACGACATGCCCTGGACTGTGTCATTGGCGCTGGTCTGTTTTTAAATCTTCTGTAATGAACGGGTGTTAAGCACTAAGTTGGTGTTCCATTATTGGGGGTTAGGAGGAAGAGAGAAATGGGTATGTCCATCCCTCCCTGGTTGGCACAACCTCTAATTTTAGATTTTTGCATAATAGAGATTTTTAACTTTTTAAGTATTAATTTTAAAATACCAGGATTCACTTTAAAAATGTCTTTAACACAAAATTTCTGCTGTCTTTAATGTTTCTGAAATGCATCTTAAGAAATAGCTAAGGCAGTTTATGAGTTAATTTTGTTGTCTTCAGAAAGCAGTTGCTTAGTTACCTGTGCTCCTTAGCAAAGACAGTTGCAGCAGGCAGTTGGGAATGGGCCTCCCAGGAGGCGGTATGGGCTCCTCTGCTCCAACAGGGGAGACAGGATTGCTTTCCATGCTTGTTATTATAACACTGTGACTCTGTCGCTCTCCCTCTGTCCTGCTTTCCCTTCTAGTAAGCTGCTTTTGAATAATGGCAGACTTTTTAATAGTACTGTTAGGGCTTACTGGCATCCTTAAGTTGTGCTTCTCAGTTACACAAAAAGGACCCACCAAAATAAGATACATTTCTGAGCATATGTTGCCTCCCTCTCCTTGGAGTATGTGGGGATGGTACTGGTAGTACTGGGGATTGAATCCAGTGGCACTCTCTGCCACATCTCTATTCCTTTTTGTTTCTCATTTTGAGTCAGGGTTTTGCTAAATTGCCCAGGTAGAACTTGAACTTGCAGTCCTCCTACCTCTGCCTCTTAAATGCTGGAATTACAGGTACATTTCACCACTTTGGGCTTAACTTTCTCTTAAATGTAAACAAATGTATCATAACCTTTCTTTTTAAAAAAAAAAATTTGGGCTGGCCATATAGTTCAGTGAACTAAAGTGCCTGCTTGGGCAGGTGCAGGGATTGGGGTTCAATCCCCAACATACCATGTCTGCCCTGCTCCCAGGGTGTGCTGAGATGGTGATTAAGACAGGGCATAGTGGCACACACCTGTAATCCCAGCACTTGGGAGGCTGAAAAAAGGAGGATCACTACGAGTCCTGTCTATGTGGTGAGATCCTATGCACCTTGTACTAAATATATAATTTTTTAAAAGAGTACAAATTAGAATTTAAAAAGAAAAATTTACAAGTGATGCCGAATTTCACTTAACAAAGTAATAGGAATTTCATAGTACTTGTTGTAATACATAGTGTTGTCTTCCAACCAGTTATTCATATTACCAGATAGATACATGCATGTAAAATTTGAAGAAGAAAGAAAAAGTGAAAGAAATGTATAAGATATTTAGAAGAGAAAAATACAGGGGCCGGGGAGATAACTCAGTAAGATCCCCAGTACCACAAAAACAAAAGATAGAGAGACAAATACAAACAACTGAAAAAAGGAGACAAGACACAGTGTTAACTGCTCCTTTCTGTAGACCAGGAGACACGCACGGTTCAGTTGTCCAAACCGTCCTGCTTACATACATAGAAAAATCTCTTCCCTCACTCCCTCTCCAGCGTCTCCTCAACTCAGTAACTCTTTTGAATAAGTTCATTCCCTTTTCTCAGTATCTGTTGTACCCTTCAGATTCCATTTTTTCTCTTTCAGGTTCTCACACTAAGGAGACAATACAATTTTTGCCCAGGCAGGTCTGATTTATTTCACTTAAGAGTATGTTCACTAGATAGAAGGCCTTTGTTGGACATATCTTTTCTTACCATCCTTATATTCTATACTTCTTTAGGCATATAAAGCTAGAGACATCAACCCAGCACCTACACCATTGAAGGACCCCGATGTTGGGGTGTTCACTGGTACCCGGGACTAGTCAAGGAAGCAGGAAGGCGCTCGATGGGGTCAGTCAGTTGGAAAGCTGTGGGAATGGGGAAGTATGGAGTATGGAGGGATGGGTAAAGGTGCCACCTCCAGAAAGTGGCATCGGGTTGGCCTCAAAGGATCAGGATGCTGTGTGGGGCTGACGCTTTTGCCTTACTCCAACCCAGAGGGCCTTCGCACACCCAGATCTGCAGTGTCCAGCCTCATCGGGACAGCCCGGCGCCGTGCCCGTGGTGTTGGTCGTGGGCTGGGCTGGCCTCGTGGCAAGCACAGGCTTCCAGCGCACTGAGCAGCTGCCGGAGTCCTGAAGGGCAGCGCACTTCCCCTGTTGGCGCAGTGCCTGCTCCGCAGCTCCTGTGTCCCTGGCATGTATGGAACTGCACTTTCTTAGGTGTTTTTAAAATATGTAATATGCGCTTCTAAGATAGTAAAAGCACTTAAATATATTTCTAGGATCGTATTTCTTTTCTGGAGTTAAAATTCAGCTACTTTTCTTTTATCTTCAGACTTTATTTTTGTATTGCTCCTCCATTTTTTGCCAGCTCCTATAAATAGGTAACTCAACCAGGAGTACTTGGTGCCTGCTTTTACTCTCTGTGTAGTACTCAATGTAGTCCATGAGTGTAAGCGGGACTGGGACAGTGTGCCAGTGGATGTGCTCGCTAGTCCTAGGCTTGAGACCCGTGAGATCTCAGCTTTGACAAAGACAACCTGGGGTAGCAGCCTGCAGGGCGGGTGCTTCGTACATCAGATAGCAGATGTTCGTGAAACTTCTAGAACGCGTGAGCCAGGAGTCTAAAGTGGTACTGAGTGCTTGATGAGTTGGGGCCCACAGCATGCATAGCAGTCACAGGGCAGGTAACAGTGCTGACACTTACCTGCGCACGGCCGCTGCGGCTGCCCAAAGGAGGCGGACCGGCAGGCCTCTCCTCCCCGTCCAGCCCTGCCCAGTGGCACGGTTCCATGTTCAAGTCTGAGCACTCACGTTCGTGCTTCGTGTTCCAACAGGTGACTTTGGGGAAGGTATTGAAAGTGATTGTCGTCATGCGGAGCCTGTTCATTGATCGAACGATCGTAAAGGGCTATAATGAAAATGTCTACACAGAAGATGGCAAGGTAAGCCTTCTAGAGACCTTGTCTTTTTCCTGTATCCCAGAATAAATGGTCCCCGATGAATGACATTAAAAACTAGCAATCATAACTAAAACGATCTGCAAACAGATTTGTCAGTACAAAGATGAACGCTTTAAGAGAAAATATTCATCCTCTCTGCTTGCATTTTTTCATCAAGGTTCTGCGTTTTCCTCTCAGCCTGATGCCCTTAGTTGAATTTCTAATTTATCACCTTAGACCCTAGTTGCCTCATTAAACATGTCTTCTGAGGAAATGGATTTTTTCCCGAGTCCACCAGCACATCTGTAGCCCAGAGTTCAGTGCTCTCCCTTTCCTAGAACCGTAAGGAAAACTAGTTCATTTGCGTGACCCAGTGACACTTTTTTCCCATGAAACTGGCAGACAGCTCCAGGAAGTCGTAGATGCTCAGCCCACACACCGAATGCTGCACTCTAAGCAGACAGGCTCCTTCCACGGGTGATCTGCTTCGTGGAAAGTTCAGTGGTGTGGCTTCCTTCGGCCACACACTCTCCATCTGGTGCCGCAGAGTGCATCGGAGGATGCTAATGGGAGCTGACAGCCTTCATTCGTGCGTGCTCCCAAGGGTGATGAGCGCCCTTCCCGAGACCCACCCCCATTCTCCCGGTCGCGGCCCAGCCCTCCGCCTCCCTCCTGAATCTCCTTAGCATTTGGAAGTTTGCCAAACTCACACTCACCATCCAGTGGCCACACCATGGTGAGGACGTTGCTCTCCATGCCAGGTGGCGCATGGCTGCACACACGCATGTCCAACGGGCACAACTGGTGATGTGGTAAGACCAGTGTGGCCGACAAGTCACCCATTCCCCCCCCCCCCACATGAGTGCTGACTGCACTCACTTCAAGGATGGTGTCATTTGCTGGAAGGAGACTTCCTTGTTCTTCTCTGATAACCCAGCTGCCCGTGAGCAGGCGTAGAGAGTAAAGTGCACGGCAAGGCCTGCATGTGCGCCCTGACCGCAGCGCAGCTCCGGAGGGTCCATTCTGCCGATGGACACACTGAGTGCTGTTCCCCTCAGCTCGCCTCCAGGTCACACCTGGTGTGAATTATGTGGCTAACAAGGACGTGGGAGGGAACTGGGAGGATAAGAGCAGCCTAGAGCAAGGGTGTAGTGAGGACCATGCCGAAAGTCCAAAAGTCGGGATGCAGTGCAGCAGCACACGCTTAGCCATGAGGGAGGGCAGATTTTCCCTGCTCTCAGGTACCCTCAACATCGTGTTGACCTGACTGTTCTCCACTGAACATGTCCAAAATAATATACACAAGGTACCTAGCACCTTGCAGCCTGGCAGATAAGCAAAGAAGCAGCACTAGAATGAATCAAGCCCCATTTGACCCTCAGGTTCCCGGGGTGCTCTCTCCCTCCACTCACTCCCCTTGACCCTCTCCGCTCACACAGGGTACGTGGACACCTGAGTTCCCCAGTCTTCCTCCCCATACCCCCCATGTCCGCCCTGCATACAGGGCCATCCTCCTGTTAAGCTGCCTCACACTGGCCCCTCCTGTCCTCCACGCCTTCTACCTCAAGGATCCCATGATCTCTACACTGACTGCTCCCTCTCACACATTTCCAGTTTACTGCTGTCCCAATAAGCGTGCCCCCTCGGCTTCCAGAGCGGCCCCTAAACACGTGCTGTGTGCACACTTCTCCCGCTCGTCTCCACCTCCCGCTGACCAGAGGAGGAAGGTAGGAAAGTAAAAGGCTGGCCCTGATGGGTCTGTGATCAGACCCCGCGCTAGGGATCAAACCTGGAGCCTCGCCTGTGCGGGGTGAGCTCCACCTCTGAGCTCTAAAGCTCAGTTTCTTTACTGTAAGATTCCTAGAGCCCTTGGTCTCCTTATCTCCCTTATGACTCTCTTAAGAAGAACACAGTGTGCAGTACTTTCATAACTTACTTGGTCGCTCAGTTCTTCTATTTCTTTTCTCCTTTATTCTTAGAGCGTATTATGACATTGACATTCTGAGACACACTTCCAAGAGCTCTGGCTTTAGAATAAAACCCCAGCTCCTTTGCAAGGCATGGAGGTGCCTCATGATTTGGCCCTGCCTTCCTTTCTGACCTCATCCACTTCTTTTTTTTTTTCTTTTTTTCTTTTTTTTTTTTTTTTAATGTATTTGGTTGTTACAGGGTCTCACTATGCAGCCCGAACTCATGGTGATCCTCCTGCTTTCAGCCTCCCTGGCGCTGGGATTGCAGGCATGCACCCCCATGCTCAGACTCTGGCCATCTCAGCCTACCCTGAGGGACAGGGCTAGCATGGCAATCGAACCTTGGTCCTTGCGCTTGTCTAAGCTTGCCTAAGCAGGCACTTTAGTCCGCTGACCTATCTCACCGGCCCCTCATCCACTTCATTCTTTACATACATCTCATCCACTTTCCAGCCTTGGTTGCCACCCACCCGCAGCTCCAGGACATGGCGCACGAGTGCACACATTTGGCCCTTGCCCTGGGGTGGTCGCCTGTCCTCCCCGTCTGTCTTCCCACCCTCCCTGTTTTCCCCACCCCTCCCAGCCTAAGCACAGTCCTGGCCTGCATGGGCTCTGCAGATGGCCGGCTCAGGTGTGCTGCCACTCGCAGTGCTAAGTGCCATCCTCGTTGCTAGCTCAGCTGTGGGATCTGGAAATGTTTGGCCAGCCCTAGAATCTTTACATCATGGTTGTTTATTTACATGTCCATTTTGCAGGTAATGTAAGTTCTAGCCATGCTAATAGCTATGGGCCTGGGAGCCACTGCACTATCCAGACCTTGCCTGCACTGGCTGTTGAGTCCTAGTGCTCTCGTGCCATCCAGTGTAGGCAAGGAGACTTAGTCCTAAAGAGTAATGTGTCTGTGTACAGCCACACAGACCCTGTGACTGTGCTGTGTCCTTAAGAAATGATGTGCCTTAGTGGCCAGAATGTAGTAGAATCCAGTTCTACATGGGAAAGGAAGACGATGTAGCCAACTTGAGGTGTGAAAGTGTACAGCTAGAATGGAGCATAGAGAGTCAGAAATGCGAAGGGGAAGGCATAGTGGCTCCTGCCTGTCATCCCAGCGCTCTGGGGCTCGGAGGCAGGAGGATGGCAAGTTCAAGCCCAGCCAAAGCAGTTTGGCAAGACTCTGTCTCAGAATTTTTTTAAAAAGAGGTAGAAGAAGAGCCTGGAGATGTAGGGAAGAGGGAGGCATTCAAAAGAAACAACAAGTGTTGTAGGTGTGAATAAATCCAAGAATAAAGGAGACACAGGCTCCTACATATGCTGCCCTCGTAAGAGAGTAGTATGATCTCCTTGCTCATGAGAAGGAAAATGGATGTGTTTGGTAATCTAGATTCAGTTACAGCTGACAGGAGATGTACAGTGGGGATGCCCTTTAATCTTGATTGTCTGCTTGGCTGGCTTGGGATCCACCATGGACGAGGGTAGAACCCATTCCAGGTCTGCTTGGGCGTGTTGTGGAGGCGTGCCCGTGTGCCCTGTCTGACCCCTGGCCCTCTGTTCTCTGGCACTGGCGCTCTGCTCAGCTTTCCAGCCACCTTAAACTGAGCAGCTTCGCCCCGCCACACCCTTCTACTGCAATACTCCTGCTTTGAGGCTGGCCAGCCATGGATTGAAGCCCCTAAAACTGTAAGCCACAGCAAGCCTGTCTTACTTTTTAGTTGCATCAGGTACATTGATCCCAGCAACAGGAAGCTGGCTATCACAGTGGGACAGGAATCTTCTTGTCCCCTTTTACAGTGCATACACAGACCCACATGCAAAGCAGGGACCTTAGGACTGGAAATGGCGAGGCCGTGAGACCGCCCCTCTGCGATCCTAGGCCACATCTGGTGGAGAAGCTGGCAGATGACCGCCCCTCCCAGCCTCACTGTGGCCCATTGATTACTCCCTCTTGTTCAGAATACATTACAAGTGATAAAAATACAACACAGAGATGCCGCCAGTACTGTTCTCTAAACACTGGACTTGCTGTATGCATGTCTGTATATTTACACCTGTATAGGCACTAGCGCACTCGGAGCATGAGGTGTCTGGTGCATCCCGTGTAGCTGTAACGTTGGTGGATCTTGCCAGTAGAACTTAGGTGTGGTCTACAGGAACAGATTGCTACTTGCAGTTTTGCTCTTTCAGAGCCTGAGCCTTGGGCCAGCTCAGTGGGGAGGCGTGTCCTGCCTTCCCCTGCATGCAGCCCCCAGCGCCGCCTCCCGTGTGGTTCTCTGCCCACCGCACCCTGAGCAGCCCAGTCCGCCCGCGCGTTCTGAAAGGTCTCATTATCCCCGTCGCTCCCGGAGCAGCCCATTGCCACCCTGTTTCTAGACCCAGTGGGGCTTTTCCCATCAGAGTCCTTCCAGCAAGGCTATCACTTTGCAGTAACAACCACTACCCTGATGCCATGTCTCTACTTGTGATAAATATTTTTGATACCAAACACCAGTAGCCTGATTGGTCTCAAAAAAATAAAAATGCTGTTCAGACTTACCAACCGCTATTCATTGTTATCAGGGAGTAAGAGCCGTGACTCAGCATGTTAAAAGGCAAGGCTAGAGGAGTGCCTGGCCATTGTCCTGTTTTATACCAGTCAGACTGAACTGAAAAAGACAAGTGTCTCGGTTGAATTTATCTTATTAGGGGATTTAGGTTATGTTAATGCTATAGCTTCATTAATTACCCCATATCAATAAAAAAAAAAAAAAAAGGGCAGCTTTTAGCCTCCAAGCGTAAGAGCAGCAAAGAAATGGTGGTATCAAAGGAGACCTTCAAAGACAGCCTGAGCTGTCTCCAGGGTAATTTCTGATCCCGTATTCTTCCCACTTCAAAGCTGGGGGTGTGTGTGTGTTTGGGTCGAGGGGGCTGGGAGAAGCTTGAATCTGATTTCTCTAATAAGTGTTGGCATCAGCCCCGTTTGATATTAGATGCAGGGAACATTTTGATTTGTTATAGCCTTTGAAATTGTTCAGACGACCTTCAGAAAAATGGCCTCTTGTTATTTCTGGGAAGAAGGGTGAAAGCAAGGAAAGGGAATCCAGTTTAATTCCTATGCAGAGGATGCCTTGAAATTGTGCTTTCAGCAGTTTTTTAGTAACAAATGCATGTCCTGATTGAAAGTGAAAAGTTTCAGAATAATAGACCCACAACTCGGCGTTCCTCCGTGCAGCTTGTTCGCACTTTTCCTCTCTGGGGTGCAGACAGGCGGAGGAAGATGACCACACCGAAGTTTGTGGTTTGGGAATCTTGAGCAGCTGTGGAGAATCCGTCACCGCTGCCCGGGCTGGCCCTCGCCCAGACTGCCCCACGCCTCACCTTTTGAGGCAAAACTCTTAACAAAGTTGAAACTCCTGGTGGCTTATGAATTCTGTTTAGAAGTATCCATTCTAAATCATTTAAAAGTCAGCATATGTACCATTTTTTGAAATGAAATAAAGAATTGATAACTATCTAAGGACCTGCCAGCATGTCCGTGTACTGCTAAGTGAATTTTAGCAGCAGTAGTTATCACAGCAGCAGACCTCAAAGCAGATTTGTAGTGCTGAGCCCCCACCCACGAGCTGAGCCAAGGAGCATGCAGAGGGCGCTGTAAGCCAGTGTCTCCTCCAAAAGCAGCCTCTTCCCCCCACCTCTGGACACAGATCTGTTTTCAAATTCTCCACCACAGATGTGACAGTGGGCAGCTTACTTCATTTCTCTGGGCCTCAGTTTCCTCATCTGTGTATTGGAGACGATGTCATCATCCTCAGCTGGGAGATATAACAGGATAACTTGGGTGGAGTACAGGCCAAAAACAGCCGTCAGTAATGCCATCTGCCCTGAGCAGTTGTGACATGGTGATAGGGATCACTGGCAAAGCTAGGGTGACCTTGCTGTTGGTGTCAGACCACCCTGAGTGTTCTTTGCGGTGCAGAAATTTGACTTGTCACTATTTTTGCTGGTTGCTTCGAGAGGTCAGTTGACATTGTAGGGTTTGTCCCAGGAGAGGTGTGTCTGCTGAAGTGCTTGGTCGTCTGCGTGTTCATTGTGCTTCCCCTGAGAAGAGCCCCGGTTCCCACCTTAAGATGCTGGTTCTCGTGCATCCTGAGGGGAATGGCATTTATTCCCTGACATGAGGAAGCTTGCGGCTCCCAGAATGCTCCTTCCTTGCATATCGTAGCCAGCAAAAAAACTGGTAGCCATGCCCGCTTTTGCAGCAAATGAGCTGGAGCTAATAAACATTCACTCAGATCCTTCCTGGCTCCTGAAATGAATATCAGAAGATCTTCCTGGCCTGAAGGAGAAGCTGGGCATTGACTTCAGGATGCTCATTTAAATAGCTTTCTTTGGCATAAATCTAGCAGAAAATAAAGCATAAACCACCTGCTGTGTGCTCCCAGCAAAAGGAGGGCCCATTGTTATCAGATCCCTTTTCCAGCCCTGTGCACCAGGTAAATAGACCATACTGTCCACCAGCCCTCGTCACAGATGGTAGAGCAGTCCCTAGGGTCCTGAGTCATATTTTAAGCCTCCTTCCAAAAAGAGCAACACCCTGGCTTTGAATAAGCATGGTCTGTTCTGCGAATCCACGCTTAGCTGAGAAGCCGTCTCTTAATTAAACCTGTGTGTATTTCCCTCTAGATTTTTTTTATTAAAACATCTTATACTATTCCCAGTACAAAAAAAAAAAAAAAAAAAAAAAAACCCTAAAACATCTTATAGATACGTAAAGGTTTTAGAGTAAAAGCTGTAAACTTGCAGTGCATGCAGAGTCTTCTTTGCTGTCATTTTGTGGCTGTTTGTAGCTCAGTCTGCCCTGGTGTGATGTGAGAGGAGGGGGTAACGAGGATTTCACAAGGCACAGCTGTGGGCTTAATGCGTGAGGAGAGCTGTGTCAGTTCCAAGTTCAGACATTGCAGTTACTCTTCCTGAGATTTAGATTTAAAATCTTTGGCATCTCCCTGTCATCTTGACAATGATTTTGGGAGAACTAAAAGATGGAGAAGTCATTCTTATTCACCCTGCAGTCCCTGAATACTCTGTAAATGCTGCATTTGTTAAACCCTGGCTGGGCTAAACTGCTGCACTGAAAAAGTGACCCGAACCTGGCCTTTTCTCTCCAGTATGACCCGCCACCAGGAGTTTTCTTTTACGGAATTGATGACACAGGAAATGAATCTCACATCTTTCTTTGGAGGTCTCCTTCAGAATTGTCTTTGTCACTTTTCCTCCAAGTTGTTAACCTGTCAAATTAAGACTGTGATGCTTGGAGATTTTTTAAATTGTCATGCTTGTCCATTAGTTGGAAGGGGTGGGGCAGCAGCTAAGATTGCCATCCCCTTGCTGGCGCGCTCTTCAGTGAAGTAGGAAGGGCGTCTGCTTTACGCACATGCACGCACACACACATGGTGAGAATCGCAGGAGACCAGAAGTGAGCAGGAAGCAGCCAGGAGAACTGGATGTGCGCTGGGCATGGCCCGCCTCCTTCTGATGTCCTCCCCAGAATAGAAGCAGAGCTCTGCGTCCAGGTCAAATGCAGCTCTTCACTTCCTGTCTTCTCAGAAGAGGCTCCCGCAGTGGCTCCTCCAGCTCCCTGCAACTCCAAATCAATAACGCAGCATCCAGGCCCACGCACTCCCATCTCCGGTTCTGCCTTGACCACTGGCCAACCCCACAGGCCAGTTCCAGGAGACCCATTCACTGGGTGTTTCAATTTGTTCAGCTCGTGACCTGGTATATTAAAGGCCACTCTTCAGCACCTCAGGGATGCGCTGAGGGCCCCTCATTTAATCATGTCCTGAGTGCGGCCCAGGCCTGTCCTGGTGGTGCTGCTGCTCTTGCCGCATGAGATTGGTTCTGAGCCCTTGAAGCTGTGAGAAGGCAGTGCGAACAGAGGAAACCAAAATGATTTGGGTTGGAATGAGCTGTTGGGAAGTCTAGGTGTGGTAGCGCACACCTGTAATTTCAGTGCTCTGGAGACTGAGGCAGGAGGATCACTGCAAGTGTGAGGCTGGCCTCTACAACACAGCAAGTTCAAGCCCAGCCTGGACTATATAGTGAGACTTGGTCTTTCAAAAGGGGGAAAAAAAAAAAAAACGAGCCACCAAGTTCACTGTGTGCGGCCAAGAGTGGCCAAAGGGGACTAGACTGGGCTTCCCTGAGCCCTGCCCACAGTTCATCTTAGGCCAACCAGGTGTCCAGGTACCTGAGAATGCAGCAAAAAAACAAGAACAGGCTTTTGGGCCCACTACAGATCTCATTCATGGCAGACTCCAGGGCAAGGATCAGGACATCCATATTTAAAAGCAGAACCCCTCCCCGCCATGCTTCTGATCCCAGCCCAGTGTGAGCACCACCAAAGGAAGCCTCAAGAGAAGCTCCAGGTAACCTTGGGCCGTGTCGTGCTCGGGGCCTTTGCCTCACCATCCAGAAAGTAAAGCTGCTCCTGCAGCAGCCACATCTGCATGTTTGGGGGATTAGGAGTACATGTGCAGGACCTGGCATGGACCAGGTGCCCGCTGTGTGCCGGGTCCCACACCCAGGCCCCAGGGTAGCCCTCACTGAGCCCCTTCCTGGGCACATCAGGTAGTAAAAAATCATACTTAAGGCAGTCTTACATGTTAAGAAACTTGTGGGGCTGGAGAGATGGCTCAGTGGTCTAAAGCCCCTACTTAGAACAAGCTTAGCAAAGCATCAGGGACCGCGGTTCAATCCCCCAGCACCACATGCCAGCCAGCCCCGCCCCCTGGTGGGCTGAGCTGGCCACACACAACTCTCGCTCTCTCTCTCTCTCTCTCTCTCTCTCTCTCTCTCTCTCTCTCTCTCTCTCTCTCTCTCTCAAATAAAAAAAAAAGAAACTTGTAAGTTTTGAAAGTGTAAAGGGCAGACAACAGGGACTGAGAATAGTATTTATTAGATAGGTTAACTAGGAATTAGCTCTCTGATAAGGTGACCTTGAGCCTGCAGCAAGTATAGAAATCATCACAAGAGGGCTTGTGAGAAAAACATGAAGAACACCAGAAACGCGGAGGTCCTGGGGCAGGATTGGCTTGGTACACTGAGTTGGAGATGCAGTAGGGTTCAAGGTTAGAAAAGCGCCAGAGTGGAGGCAGGGATGTAACTCAGCAGCGCAGTGCCCGCCTGGCAAGCACAAGGCACTGAGTTCAATTCCCAGTAGCCAGAAAACAGAAGAGTACCAGAGGGGTCTGGAAGGAGCTAGTGCCCTGAGGTGACTTCACCATAGCCTGTCACTTCAGTCCCTTACACACCTGCAGGGCATTTGAGATCTTTCAGCCCCAAAGTCCTGTTGTGTTAGGAGGGTTTTCCCTTTCTCAGGTGTGATGAGAGTAACTGGAGTTAGTGTCATGCTGGAAGTCCGCATTCTGAAACTGCTGCTAATGGTGCTTGCCTGTTGCCCACAGCTTGACATATGGTCCAAGTCCAACTATCAAGTATTCCAGAAGGTAAGTTTTACTTTCTGTTTCTTACTCATGAGTCATTAGGAAAATGAGAAATGGGGGACTAAATATTGGTCTCAGATTAGAGACTAAAAAGTAGAAAAAGCCCAACCTAAAAATTTGCTTATTTTACGGGTTCCATTTATATGACATTCTGGAAAAAGTAAAAGCTTAAGAAAAGAAATCGGATCGGTGGCTTCCTGGGGGTGGGAGCAAGGGATTGACCCTAAAGGGCCGTGAGAAACCCCTCTGGGGAGATGGCATTGTTCTGGGTCTTAATCCTGGGTGAAATGGCACACCGTGCATGTCGGTCAAAATTTTAAGAGGACTACTTCCCTACAAGGGTAAATTTTACTCTGTGTAACTTGTACTTAACCACTTACTGGTCGAATTATTTAAATATGAGATGACCAAAAAATGTGGTTTTTTCATTAATTTTTAAAAGACAGCAGGAAAAAATACAGAAGTGGTAAGAATCAATTGGTTAAAATGATACTTGCCCAGGCGACGCTCAGGGTGCTATGTAGCTAAACCTGGTTGTGATCAGCCTTTACGTAGTTAAGAGAACCCTAGGCTTTAGAGCTACTGCACGCCCAACTCAGCTGTGAGTGGGGTTCTCAGAGCCCAGGGGCCTTCCCGGCCGCAGCTTTAGGCCTGGAGGTGATAGCTAGTTTGGCTGTCGGCTTCCCCAGGAACACTGGAGGGGAATGTCAGGAAACACTTAAAGAGAAATGCATTTTCCCAGCTCTTGATAGTAAGGGTCCCTGCCCCAGCCAGTTTGAGCCCTGTGATTAGAGTGGCTCCCTCAGGCAGCAGCCGTGTTTCTAGGCTGCCTCTGCTCTTCCCCAATACTCCAGGTAATAGGGTACCCAAGTCCCCCATCAAGCTCGCTGCAGCTCCTTACAGAGCCCCCTCAGCCATGCGTCAGGCACTGTGCCAGGTGCCAGGGACACAGGAAAATGAGACACAAGGAAGGCAGGCAGTTACAGGCGCTGTGCCAAGCTCAGCAGGGGCTGCTGCTTCAGGTGGTCAGGAGCCTTGATGGGGCGCACAACAGGGCAGAGGTGGGCTTCCGGCGGCCTGGGCCTGCAGCCCAGATTATTGTGTCTTTGCAACTGTGGTGGGTCAGGCCTCTGAGGACACTGTGTGGTGGAGCCATCGTGGTGAGGACAGGAGCTGGTCCCACAGCCCAGGTCAGGTGAGGGCTGCTACGCCCGGCACTGACCTTGGCTTCTCTTGTCAGTTCAGTAAGAAACCACTAGGAAGCTTCCTGCAGAGGAGGTATGGGATTTGGGGCTCTTGGCCCTGGTTGGTCCCCCACTCAGGTGTGCAGGAAGCCTGGGGCTTTTTTTTTTTTTTTTTTTTTTTTGGTATTTTAGGGAGGGGTCTACAGGGTATGCAGAATCTCACTACTAGATCAGACTTGTAGTGACCCACCTGTTTACAGCCTCCCAAGAGCTGGGATTACAGGCTTGCCACCACACCTAGTCTCAATTGCCATCTCAGTGCATCCCAGGGACAGGGCCGGCCCTGCACCTGCTTGCAAGCTAGGGCTTTTTCTTTAATAGAGTGAAACTCACATACATTAACTCCTTACAGTGACCAGTTCCTTGGCGTTTGGTGCATTCCATGTGTGAGGCATCTGCCCCACTGTCTGCAGCACTCACCTCCCAGAGGCTGCCTTGCCCCTGTCGCAGCTGCTCTGTGTCCCCCTCTAGTGGCAGGGACAGCAAAGGACAGAGGCACAACAGGAGCCACTTGGGGCTGAAAGGCACACATTAGGGAAGCTTGGCGCATAAGCGCTAGAAGTGCAGGTCTCCTCACAGCACGGCCCAGGCCGGGGCCCTGAAGCAGGGGAAGATGCTCGGGAAACACCAGCGACAGCTGCACAGCGGGGGCCTGGTCGCCAGTGGTAGTGACTGTCCGGGGGAGGTTGGCAGGGGGTGTAGGGCTGTGCATCACAGCCATGTTTCAGAACTCAAAGCCACTCCAAGATGAAAAGGTCAGCGAGCAGCGTTCTCGTCCTGCCTCTTCCGACACCCCTTTCCCCGCGAAGCTCCTTAGGTGCACCCTGGGGACATAGCACACTCCTCAGGCTACAGCCGAAAGGCAGAGCCCCTCAGCTGCCCCCGCTGGGCTGACATGCCAGGCGTGACATCTGCACGTGGGGCTTATGTAAGCCGCCATAGCTTCGCATTCCCTCACTCACACAGTGCTCAGAGCCTAAAGCTTTAGGCCGACTAAAGCCCTGGCCTTCTTCGCGCTGTTGGTGCTTGAACATGGCTCATGATCAGTGTCTTTTGGCAGGAGTAGTGAGGGACATTAAACAGGTGTAGGTTTTCCCTCCGCCCAGCTTTTATTGCCATGCCCTCTGTAACAGAGCAGAGTTACCTCCTGGTTCCATGAAGGCCCAGGACGCTCGAGGCCTCCCAGCCCGGAACCTAGACTCAGACGGACAGTGGCCCGGTTCCCATGCCAGTGCTCCGTAGCAGGGCTCTGGCACATCTGCATATTTGTCTAATGTTCTTTTTAGTATGAAGTGGTTTTGAATGCAAGAGGCAAGTTTACTAGAAAAATTGCAAATGTGTGAAATGCAGATTTGGTGTGGCATAAAAGGACAGTGTTGTATTTTTATCCTAGCTACCCTGCGCTCTTTGTGTTTGGCATTGCAGACACAGAAGTGTTGTTTAAAACTTGGTATAGACTGGCCATTGAGGTGGAAGAGGGCTTCCCGTCCCTTCCTTGCAGCTTACATAGCAGCGTGAGGCAGGAAAGGGCGGCAGCGTCACCTGACCGTCTCCTCGGCTGCAGAGGAGTGTGCTGTCTCTGTTCGCACAGAGCCCTTCCTGAGATTCCTTTACCTGTGTTTCACTAGCCTGGCCTCTTCTCCCGACTCGCACTAAAGAGCTGCGGTTGACAACAGGTGGAGGCGCCCTCTGATTAAAACTGAACTCACTGTGTGTTGTCAGGCCAAAGAATATATCTGAGAGTAACGTGGGACAGAATTAAGTGCAACCCCTTCTCCTTCGTCTTTTAGCTAGCCCCCGTTGCACGGAGCAGGTGTATTCGCACTCTGTGTTCCTCACCTGTGGAAGATGGGGAATCGATGCCTCATATGGTTTTCACTGTTCATCTCAGGCAGGCAGGTGGCCACGCACAGACCTTCTGCTCCCCTCCCAGGCCCTCACAGGACAGTAGCCGCTCTGTCCACTGCATGTTCTGAAGGCCTGCTGAGCCCTGCAGTGATGGTTAGGACTTCAGGCTGAGCACGCCGTGAGAGAAAGATGAAGCAGCAGCATTCCTAAACTCTGCTTTGTAGGATCAGCTATTTCTCGGAATCCTATTTTCTTCTTGTCCACCCACTTAAATTTAGGGTGTGCCAATGGATGTTGTTTGTAGTGCTTCCCTGAAAACTCCATTTAGAAACAGTGGTAAACATTCTTGTCACCATAGTCAGCCTGTGTACGCCCAGCCAGGCAGCCTGGCCAGGGTGGGCCAGCCTGGCCCAGTAGTGCAGGTCAGAGTATCACAGTAGCAGGACATAGCAAAGGAGACTCCTGGTGGTCACTAGAAGGGGATCGCTCCTGCGGGAACTAATCACCTAGGGATGGGGATGGCCAGTGTCACAGCTGTGCCCACTTCTGTGTCCCCGGAGACCACTAGAGAGAGGCTTCTCCCCGCATGGCTCTGGGGCAGAACCCCGAGGACACCCTTTCTCTAGCACTCATTATGTGATTGCAACTACTGCATGTGGAAGGAGTTTTCCTGCCCACCCGTGGTGGACAGGGGCCTACCAGGAAGGCTGGAGCCCTCTGAGGGGCCCCCCCCAGGAGACAGGAAGCAGATGGGGAAGGGCACTAGAACATGAGCAGGAGAGGGAAGCACAGCGCAAGCAGGTTCCTCTGGGCTCCGCCTCATTCCCTGAGTTAAGTCTGGACCCCGTGGTCCTGCAGCAAATCCCACTGCAGGAGGCGGAATTCAGCCTTCCCTTTGTGTGCGGCCATTGACTCTGTCAGCAAGCCCTTTTCTGTCCCACTCATTAGACCCTGTACCCAGGCGTGGGGAAGTGGCAGCAGGCTGGGGACAACTTGCTGCGGGGCTGCGGCCACTAACAGGTGCCTGTCATTTACCAGGCTCCCCCGGAGGTGCCTTGCACTCCGTCCTAGGGTGAGGAAGCTTTTTATAGCCAGCAGATCTCCAGCAGAGTGGACTCAGAGAATGGGGCTTAGAAATAGGGGACCCTCTGAAAGGGCAGAATCACAAAGAGCCAGGAAAGGTTCCAAGCGTGTTCATATTTTTCTGACATTTAAACTCTGCAGGGGCAGTCACTGTTTTGATCTTTAACCCCCTCATTTCAAAACAGTGTGTATTTTCATCCAGTAACTTGGGAGGCATGAGAGCCAGGCTGTAGCTGCTTCCTGCATTAAATCCTGGCAGGTGGCTGAAGAAGGGGATGCAGAGTGGGCTGCCCCAGGCAGGGGAGTGGGGCGGAGCTGGAGCCACCAGCGCACGATACGACCGTAGAGGACAAAGCGTAGCCGTCCAACTGTGCAAGCCCAGCCCTTGGCCCACGATTGCTATTCTGACAGTCGCAGAGAGGAAGGTGACCCACTTGGCCCTGCAGCAGCAGTACTCAGCCATGGCCAGGTGATGTCCAGCAGGACACCGCCACTCCTTGGTCCCTTTATCAGGGATGCTTCCTTGTGGCCACCAGCTACTTTGTAGTAGAAGGGACTGAGTCAGCCCTAAAAGACTGAACTGTCCGACAATTGGGTGGACCCTGACGATAGGTTGGCTGTGTCGAGTACCTGTCCACCATCGCCTGTGCCTTTTGAGTGCAAGTCCCTGAGGGGACACTGTCCTGACGAGAGAGTCCACAGAGGACTGGTACCGCTGGCCACCTGAGCATAAGTACATGCTGTGGCATCTCAGGAAATAGTCACTCTATCTTTTTTTTTTTTTTTTATTGACAAAAAAATTGCAATGAGACAGTTTCAAAGCAGGTT